TTGGAACTATACGTAGCTGAGTCTGACGAAGTGTAATCAAGGTAACCACGAGGGATGTTGTACATTTAAGGACGGTTCCCAAGGCAACGATGATAGCCATGGGAAATCAGAGATTTTTGAGTTGAATTATGCAGATGGACGGACAGACAGGGGCTATTTCATGCCAAATAACGCGTAATAATCCATGGAGTACGCTGACCTCAGAATTAATCTCATAAGGGCATGTATAACGTGTATAATTACATCGCATGTCAGCAACGCCGTCATGGAGACGAGTTCACTCGGTAGCCATGGGTTACGTGTACTGAAAGCTACGCTTATTTTTACGTGAGGTTGCCTTCATTTGTCTCCTACGTCGCTAATTCTCTGTGCTGAATTTCTGCTGTAATCTGATCGTGTAATGAGCCTTGGGAGTTCAGCTAGCCAATTATGCAATAACGAACGAAATTCCCGCTTGATTATCACAGTGAACCTGACAGTCGCTGCCGAATTGATTTCATGCACCAGTAATTAGGGACATCAAAGCAGCACGCGAGCTTGAAGTGCTTATATTATGTGGTCTTTAATATAATTGTCATTTTGGCATTAAAACTTGACAGACTCTACATAGAATACAAGCTGTTATCGTCACTCAGACTTCAATGCACGTAAGAGACTCTTCAGGCCAGGCGCATACCGAACGAACGCTGACGTAAATGTAGCCTCGGTGTGCAATATGACGACAACGATACCAGCAGTGACAATTGACTGTCGCAGTGGTCACAGGCAGAAAGAGTGAGGGCGATATATCTGCCAGGAGATTTAAAATCATTAGACGAAATGCGTGGGACCCGGGATGATATCGCTGCTTTGCGCATGTCACATGTTCCCTTTGAAAGAGGAAAGCAGCTCGTCTGAGACCTCTCGTTATTATTTATTTTATTTATTTAGTGTTCTGTCTGACGACAGGTCCATATGAACAGGATCCTTCCATCCTTTTCTCGGACTGGGACCTGTTCATATACGTTCTTGGCAGATGATCCAGAAGTGGTTTGCCATTGCCTTCTTCTGTGTGTGAATGAAGTAATTGTTGGGATGCCACGGAGAAAAACTCCGTGTTGCCTAGACCACCAC